ATGGCGACGCTCCCTCCTCTCTCTCTCTCTCTGCCTGTCTCCCTTAGATGTCACGTGACGGTTCTCTCCCCAGGTGTTTGGCCTGCGCCTGGCAGCCTTCATTGATTCGTCCGCACAGTGAGACTCTTTGTGCGTCGGCCTGGGAGAAACTCTCTGCCCATCCTCTCCCCACAGGTGGGGACGTTAACTCCGGTCGCACTGTTGCTGCTGTCGCCAATCAGAAATAGTTTTTGATTAAAGACGGCGAGGGAAGGAACTGCGTCAACGCGGGGCTGATCGTCGGCTGTTGGGTTCGCTCGGTTCTGCTTTCCCAGCTGTCCTCTGGGAAGCGGTTCTGTTTGGACCCCAGTGTGAAAAGCCATTATGTGATTTAGTAAGGGAGAGAGTAGCAAATCCCCCCTTTTTAGCTACTTATAGTTGTATTTCTGCTTTGCCGCTGACCAAGTTGCTTTCACGTTTGACAATATGCAATTGGAACCAAAAGCATTGTTTTGTTTTTGCTAACTTTTTTTCATTCCTGCCATCATGATGAATGTCTTTAAGCCAACGAAAACAACAACATTTTTTCACTTTTGGTTTCATTGTGACTTCAAATATCTTTGCCACTCAGTGGTCTTCCTGTTGTCTGCGCCCCGCCATGACTCCCTCCCCATCTGCCCTCATCCCCATCCGTCCACGCTGCGAGCGGAATGAGAAACGCGGGCAGCACAGAGATACCCTTCTCTCAGCTTTGCCTCAATACTTGCCGTCACTATGACAACAGAGGATTTTAGAGGGAGGAGTGCGGGGGTCTGGGGTGCACAGGGCATTTTGAATTAGCGTCTGCCTTTTTTTTCTTTAGGTGGTAGCAGGGAAGAAAGTTACCCATCTTGAGTGTAAAGGCATAAAGTGACCTTATTGTTTTGTACAGTAATCATATTTTTCTTGTTTTGTAATCCAGGGGCTGCAATTTCTGGAGGGAGAGGTTATGCGATAGAGCTGCACAGCATATCGAATCACATTTGTCATTGCCAAGGACTGTTCAGATACAGTACTTGGCAAGATATATTATTTCAGGTGCTGTGCATTCATACAGTACTTGCCAACAATAACATAACACCTTGGTATCAATTTTGGGGACTAAGATAAGAAAACTCTTGCAGAAAAATGTTGTCACTGCAATGAGGGCACAAAAGAATAGCGAGGAAATATTGCTTAATCACTAGTCAATATTATGATCACAACTAGCAGTGATGCGCACACGTCTGCTAATGCGCTAATAGCGGAGCTAGTTTATCATTTGGTGCGTTAGCCAACTTTGAAAACATTTAGCGCACTTCCTCCCCAAAATAAATTTTTCTGGATAAATTCTAAAGTGCTAATTTACTTGCATGTTCTTTAAGCTTTCAGTTGAATAAAGTTTGACATCTGTGTTGAAGGTCTGGTTGGCCACTGTTAAGAATTTGTTGCTGTATTTAGAGACTTTTCAGACTAAAAAAAAAAAAAAAATCAAAATCGGCTTTTTTTTAATTCGGCAAGTTGGGCTTTTTAAAGATCTGTGATTAGTTCGAAAACTACAGTCGCTGCACACATAATTATGCAGTGATTTTGTAAGCCAACCTATCGTATTACTCTTTGATTAAAGTTTGTTTAATTAATATTGTACTGTAACAATTATATTCCCCTCTGTGATAGTAATCCAGTGTGCTAATGACTGTAATTGTAAGTCTGTGCCATTTAGCTAGTTAGATTAACAGGAATCATTTTTCAACTAAAACCTGGCCACTGCAGGTATCACCTAGCTGTTAACTTTAAGCTAATTGTGTAAAAAAAATCTTACTTCTGAAAGTATTTCTTTGTAATTACTCCAATGCTAAATATTCATAAATGTTTTAACTGCTCTTTAGAGGCTTCCTTTCTGCTGAAGTCAACACTCTTGAGTGTTTTACTGGTTTTTAGCTCTGTAACTCTGCCCCTTGTATGTTTTCATAAGGAGTTTATTTAGGTATAATTGTAGTGTTGCCTTCCTGCTGTGTGGCTAGCTTAGGGCTGCTAATGCATTCACAGGAGGGTCTGCATTTTTTCCCTCCACTTTAGTTTGATTTAGACTGAGGTGGCTGCTCTTTGCTTCTTCTTCCGTGTTTAATTGTCTTTTTTTTTTAAGTGTATTGTGGTCTTGCCATTAGGGGTCCATTTCTGCACAGGAGTTGGGATTTGTCAAGCTAATTTTTGCTAAAATTCAACCAAAATCAACACCTGAATTATCTAGAATTTTTTGTAATCTTTATCTCGTCAGTGATTTGTGACTAAATCTACAACCTTCTACTGATTTCCACACCACCAATCATCTCAGACAAACGCAAGGCTTTAGCTCATTCCCTTATCTGTGTCGACAATGAATGAAATCAGTGGAGTTGGAGAGAAGAGCAAGGTGTCTCTGCACCGCCGAGCACTTGCCCGCACGCTGCGGGCAAGTGCTCGCCTGCGTGTTCGCGAGGAATGCGACAGAAAGTGATGCATACCAGATGTTTGAGAAATGAGGTGGGTTTCACTGGAACGTAACACATTCCCAGGGATGTTTGTGGAAAGATTCTTCCTCATCTGACGAGCATGTTCTGCAACGCCGCCGCCGCCTCCCCGCCACCCTTACCCCCAACATGGCCGTGCAGCCCGCTTAGTCGACTGTTTATCCGTCTGCCTCCGTTTCTTTAATCTCGCTCGGGAGTTGCGCTTTAGTGGGATTTTTACACCGCTTATGTGTAAATATTGACACGAGTGAAGTTGGTGATGTTTGTGGACATGGTCCTTTAAGAAGTATGAGAGCCAGCACTGTTTCAGGTCCAAGTTAAAGTGATTCAGAGTGACATTTGACATGGTGTTAGTGTCTGGGTATGTGTGGCATGGAGCGCAGGGCCAGAGGAAAAGGCAGGGACTCATGACTGAGTATCTTAAGCTTAAACTTGCTACTTTGGAAATGTGCTTTGAGCATTTATGTTGGTAAAACAGTGGAGTCTTGCTTGAAACGTCTCCCTGACCCGTCTGTTGTGTTCCTTGATCTTTCTGATGCTGTTTGTTGATGAAGCTTCTCTAATAAGGTTTTGAGACCTTCACAGAACAGCTGGATTGATGCTGAGATAAAATGTTCACACAGGAAGACTCAATTTACCAGCTAAAACCCTGTCTCCATTGTCAAGTGTCACTGTGCGCAATCCCAGTCCTCAAAGACCATTGTTCTGCAACTCCTAGATGTCTCCCTGGTCCAAAATATTTTAATCAACCCAAGGTAGATGAACTACCTTGGGTTTGTCTCCAATGGGAAGGCGTTCATTGTGGGTTGGCTCGTTCAGTTGACGACGTTTACGTTCTACTTGGGGAAGAACAGCGTAATGCCGCTACCTTAGAGAAAAGGCAGTTGATCATGGGGTTGAGCATTTATCATATTGTTTATCATTTATCGTGATATATTTCTTATGATAATTTTGATTTATCGTTGTCTCGATAAATTCCAATTAATAATGTTAAAAAGCCCCCAAAAACTCTCTGTGAAACTTTATTGTAGGAATGATTCATTTTGCTATTTTCTCAATTTTGTTCAATGAGTATAAATAAACATCAATACATTTGAAAATATGCTTAAATGCAGTTACTGTGTGTGGTTTAGTGATACAAATCATATATCGCTCACCCCTAGTTGGTCACACAAATTTTGTTTGTTGGTGTAAAGGTGCATTTTTCAGGTTTTTATTCGTGAAAAAAATGTAGTTTTGGTCCATTAATTTGTTTTAAAGGAGGTGTACATGATTCATCACTATAAACACCTGGTATTTATTCATTTTCTTCACCAAAAGATAAGCAGGAGTGATGGCCTGCTAATCTGTTATCAAGTGACGGCGAGCAAAGTTTCAGAGGTACAGACGATAAATAATCCAACGTTATTACTGCCAACAACAGCTGGACTGTGAGAACCAGTTTATACAGCCTAAAAGCAGCAACATGTGTCAGGTATCATGTAGACCTTACGGGTGAAAAAAGGTGAAACAGCAGCGATTCGTGCCGGTGAATCATCCCAGCTGCAGGTTCAAGAGTTGCCGCGCAGATGCTACAATCGGGGAAAATCTTTTTCAGGGTTTCCCCCAGTGTTTTATAAGCCTGGCGGGCCACCAGGCTTTACTTGTGCCCCTACCAGGCTAAGCATTGCTTGTTTATTTTAAGTCTTTTTAAAATGTTTGCATCGTTGGTGTTCAGATATTAATTTTCCAATCTTTCAATAACACATAATTATTGATTGATATTTTCAAATTTCCTGTCAGCTTTTAACTCAAAAACGCAACGAGCTGCTGGAAGAATGACTGTCCTGGCACCCAACCACCAGGCTTAGCACGTTTTCTGAGGGAAACCTTGCTTTTGTAGCGGCTCATCTTGTTTTTTCTTTGTTTTTTTTTACCATGGTTTGTTTCAATCTTAGGCGCTTTGGAGCCTTCCCAGTTTCAAAAGAATATGATTAAAGAAAACCACTTACTCCTTTCATAAGTCTGTGGTGACGCTTTCAGAGTGCATCATCTCTTTAGAACCAGGAAATTCAGACGCGTTGATAAGCCAAACCACTTAAGTTTCTCAGTGGGACTTGAGGGGGGAAAAAAACAAAACGTTTCCAGTGTTTCTGACTCACTGGCTGTAACTCTGAGCCCCAGACACCCAGGTGGCCGGTGAGCTTCCTCATCAATCCATATTTTTCACCGGTGGGGGATGTTAGCAGCTCTGCTCCGTCACCTCGGCAACCGCTTCTACATTACTTACAGTAGAGAGGCAGGATCAAACTCTTTGCTGCAGGCTAGCTGGTTGTGATGGAGAACTGGAGAATGTAGATTTTTTGTTAGATTTTATTTTTGTGAAAAAATAATTTAGTTGGAGCAAAAATAACCTCCTTTAATTACACAGTTTCATATCAATACCAATGAAAGCAATGCCAATGCTTTCATTCTGGAACCTAATGATTTTGATTTTTTTTCTTTCTCTTCTAGTCCTGTGTGCCAAAAACCTGGCAAAGAAAGACTTCTTCCGTAAGTAGCCAACTTTTGCAACTGCTTTGTTTAAACTTCTCTGCTTAGATTTCTGTTTCATTCATCTCTTTGAGGTGTTGCCTTTTTAGACTTGTGGAGATTCGACATGAACACTGTGAAGTCGTCTCCGTCCTAGGAATGAGACGCTGAATTTAAACTCTGGCGTAGACAATGACGGCTCTCCAGGGTCTACATATTTTTCCACTGTGTGGATCGCCTGTGTCCTACAGGGTTTTGTCTCTTTAAATTACATCATCTTAATTCTGATGTCGCATAAACAGGTGTTCTTCCTGCTAAATCTTGAAGATAAACTCATCTTTTTATGGCGGTAACTCTCGAGGCACGACTTCTTCAAAATGCAGATTGCCTTGAAAACCCTCAGTTTCAAGAAAAAAACAAACTAAAATTAAAGAAAACTGCAGGCTTTAAATCTGTCCTGTTGCTCTCAAAATGCATCATCTCTGAGATTCAGATACACTGATATCCAAAGTTTGTCTGTTCCTGTTTGCTCCAGAATGGGTAAACTTTAACTTCATTAAAAAAATAAACGTATTGTTCTTAGCAAAGTCACCAGTAGCACAATTATTGGTGCCTCTAACATTTCATTGGAAATAAATGTAGAGGAACTTTGTGTTTCCTTTGACTAAATAATTGTGCAAAACTACAACGGAAACACTTTTATCGCATCACACAAGTCATGTGATCAACAACCAGATGTTACTACAGGCGGAAAAGTCAAAGTGGTGGACAGATGCATGTTTTTTAATGACTTATCGCTTAAACAAATTTATTCACGTGTGAATGGAATCACCTCAATTGCAAAATTGTGTTTTTTCAACATTACCAGAAAAACACATTTTGCGCATTTGTAATGGAAACGGCTATTGTGGGTTGTGAGTTTTAAATCAAAATCCAGTAGATTTGTATTGGGACACTGAAAATGCATTGTCGCTGAATCTTCAATCCATGTCCACATGTCCTTAAAAAGTCTTAAATATTGCTAATATTGCTGCCAATATACCCCAGCTAGCTAGTTAGCTAGTTGTTAAATTTTTAAGGTAGTACTAGTGTAGTTTTTTTTTTCCTCTGGACTTTTCTGATAGGCATAACTTGAAGACCAATGTAAACATCTTCATTGCATTGCATTTTATGACTAATATTGAGGTTACCGCTAACT